TATATATATATATTTTCCATAGACTTGTACAATAAAAAACTTATATTATTTCAATGTATTATATTAACTGCATTAAGCACGATTTTACAAACATGTATTTTTTAATTCTCTTATGAATATATAAATATTTTATATTCAAATGTAGTTTATGAATTAATCTCAACCAATTAACAATTTATGAGGAACGTTGCAGATATATAAACATAACATTTTCGAATAACTTATATTATCATTAATAAGAATTCATTAAATATATTTTTTTATCCTGCTATTGGATTACATTTGTTATAACATTTCTCTTCATTATTCTTATGTGTGTTATAACATAGTTTGAATAAATCATTATATTACATCTTTGTATTTAATTTATATTAATTATTAATAAAAATATTAATAAGCATCGCTATATTTTAATTATTGCTCTATATTAAGCTAAAATAAAATTTTGTAATAATTACGCATTTTAAATTTTGTTATATTGTTCTCCGTAAGTAATGTAATATAAAGCTTATATCCAGTGTATATTCATGCTTTCACTTATAATTATTTTATTTTTAATTAAAAAAAATAGCACGTAAATAGAAGTTATAGACTTCTCATCACAATTGTACTAAATAGATATATGTGTAATTTCTAACATAAGTTAAGATTATAATGCTGTATTGTAAGCTAAATGTGCACGCTTATTGGTCAATTTCATATTTTTAGGTATATGTTCAGACGTCGATGTGTGATTTTCTGCATTATATTTAAATTTACTTTTATTTATTTTACTTTTTCCTATTTTCTTTTTTAACAAACTTCCAAAAGGGGTAAACTAATATAAGAAAGAAAAATATATAGCACAATAAATTATATTTTTCAAAAGAATACATCATATAATAAAAATTAATAGAAAATAAAGATATATATTATTCATATTTTATGTAGAATACATTTTTTACCTTATAGTAGATGAAGAAGATCATAATTACTCCTAATGATAATATAATCATTATGACTATACGGAAAAGAATATTTTCTTTTAAATTATTTGTCATAATTGATGTATTATATAACTCCAGATCTTTCATATCCAGAATATCATTCAAGGAAACGTTTTTACGTGTTATCGTTTGATCTCGATTTAATAGCTTTTTATATATTTTTGATCGTCTACAATACATTTGCTTTGACTTATCTATATGATCACTGTTACAAGATATTTTCGATTCTTCCTCATATTTTACACGATAATCTCCTGTTATTTCAGGAAATAAAGTGTAAATATCTTCTGAGTTAATGTTATCGTTTATGGATTTACTCTTATAGTTATAATCTTGATTGGATATTAGAACTACATTTATTGGTTTTTCATTAATTTCCAACTGATGAACGTTTCTATTTGAGTTATCACTAACTGCGGAATCTGTGCGTTTTATATCTATATGTGTTTTTTTCAAATGGGGACGGTATCCAGGTTGCTCACATACAATAGCCGTTTCATTAAAACCATCTTTAGTAACCTTAGCACATCCTAAATATTTAATATACATGTCAATTTTTGGTGTATTACTAGAAGATTCCTCTTGGGCTTTTTTACTTAAATTATAATCAAGAATTTTTTGGAAATCTTCTTTATCACTGGATTGAAGCAATGCTATTAGTTTACTTGGATTATACATGTCGTCACAACTTAAAAAATAACTTTGGCAAAGTGATGCACCGAAGTAACAACATTCCTCTTGAACTAAATGTTTATTATATGTTTCATTAATATATTTAAGGTAATTCATATATACAGTATTATTCTCATTATTACATGGTAATAAACTTATAATTTTATCATAGCTTTTAAAATAATCAAATAAGTTCTTCTGTTCTAAAAAATATTTTAATTCATCCTCGTTATTATGAGTAAAATAATATTGGCAAGAATATTTTTTGTTGTCATTTTTTTTGGTACAAATATTTAATTTCATAAACTCTTTAATAATATCGCTGATTTTGTGTGAAGTTTTCTTAATTTTATATAATTTCCATATTTCTCTAAATATCCAGTATTTATAGTAGGAACAATCTTCCTTATATTCGTTTTCACATTTAACACTATTCAATTTTTTAGCATTATTTCTTATATTCCTAAGGAGCTCAGAATCAACAATGCTATTATTAATATTCAAATTTTTGCATATATTATCATGATCAGTAACAGTAGTATTATTTTGTTCTAATTGTACATACTTTTTATAGGAATTTGCATTCTTTAAATTAGTTATCTTCTATGTGAAAAAAATGAATTATATTTATGTGTAAAAATATACGTACGTAAAAAAATATTGAATTTATTAAAAATAATTGTAATATCAAGGTTCAGAAGTAATTACGAAATATATCATATGTAATAAAGCTGTACTGTTGCAAAATTATAGAAGTCCCCTTCATCTAGATTCATTTTTTAGTAGAAAAAACATGTGAATATTCATAATATAAGCGTATATATATAATTAACTAAACCTCAAAGACTTCATAAAAATAGTCTAAACATTATGTGATATTTATAAAATATATATTCATTAAAGAAAACTATTATTTCATTATGATATGTGAGTAATGTATTATAACAATAAACAAAATTTTTATTACTCTTTTGGAAAAAATATAATTCAAATTATATATATTAAATTAAGGTAAATATAAATAATATGTATAAAATTTTCACTTTTTCAGAGTTACATATGTATATACAGAGGGATGAAAAATGGGGAATATTTTTCTTACATACTTCTTGGCATTATTCCACAAATATTATAAAATATATAAGGAATAATATATTTTCTATACATACGCGTATTTATATGGTTAATTTAATTAAATTAACTTATGAAGAACAAATCAGAGAAATACTAAATATTACAACTTATTGTGGTCTTTTATTCAAAAATAAAAAAAATATCTTTCATCTAATGCGTTAGCCTAATGAATATTACTAATAAAAATATTAATTAAAATTCATATAAATATTATTAAGAACTAAAAAAAGCATATTCTCAAAAAGAGCTAATTTTTTATATAAAAATATATCTATTTCTGCTATATATTTAATAATAATTAATTGTAATATTACTAATGATTTTTAAATCTTTTTATTGTTAAATATATTCTTTTCCACATTCTTTTTAAATGTAATATTTGGGATTCAGTAATTGAGATTCATAGGGAGAAAGTACTGAATAACACTTTTATTTTAAATATTCGGTTTTTCATAATTCTTTTTCTTTTATATGTGAGACTGTCATTGATTATTTTAATTGATTTTTCAATTAACTATATTCAGTAATTATTTAAATTACTTTTTTTTGTGACATTACAATGTCATATAAATTAATATCTATGTATTTTTTTTTTATTCATTCAGATAATACAGAAACGTTATTATATTATGTGATAAGAGCTTGTAATAGAAGTATACCGATACTTCTATTACGAATCTTCTAAAATGTAATATAAAAATGTAATTTGTATTACATTTTTTACTTAAGATAATTTTGTGTTTTATTTTTTTTATTCTAATCATAATAATGTAATAGTAGCACAAACCATAAAGATATATGTTTAGAACATTATAAAATTTTCCATTTATTTTATTGAAATTCTCAATATTAAAAAACATATTTTATTTTTCATATATATATATTTTTTATTTATATATTCGTTTATTAGAGTAGTATATATACAATATTGTGCAAGAATATTTTTGAATGTGAAATATAATATCGCATTTGCCATTTATTTCGCAAATAAAACAATTATAATAATATTAATATTATTATATAATCATAAAATATAATTCATATTGCAATTATAACATTTATTTCATACATAAATAAGTTATATGTTTTAAATTTACAATGTTTTATGCTAATATGTGTATAAAATAATTATTTCACATTATAAATTGTAATATCTTAAATAAAACACATTAATTTTTTATAATGATAACACAGTCGAAGCAGTAATTCATTCGCGTATGAATTTTAAAAATATTAATAAAATTTTTATTATCTAAATCTTTTAGAACTTCTTTTGAAATCATGCAATTCTTAATGAGAAAAGGAATTTTTTTTATAAATGAATTACATTTTGATATAGAATGCGTTTTATTTATTATAGGAGAATTATATATTTTGAATTATGAACTAAAGTACTGTTTGTTATATTTTGAGTTTATAATAATTGTAATATCTCATGAAATTATTTTTTTCCCTATAATTATAATTTTTATGACTAAAAATTTATTAAAATAATATTGTTAAGAATGGTTTAATATAATTTTTTTAATATATAATTTGAAACATCTAAATGTAAAAAACAAATATATGCATAACATAAATATATTTTTTGTTATAAATTTTTAGAGAACCAAATATTACACATATAAGCCAATGTTATGTAAATTGATATATCAATTTAAATGATAGTACTGGAGTTCATACAATTATAACAAATATTACGTATGTACCATGAGCACAATAAAAACAGTATAAATAAATGTACATAATAAATGAAGATACCATGATTGAATACATTATGTGCTCACTCTTGCTGAACTTCTCTTATATTCAAAATATTTATTAAATAATGGCATCTAGAAATACTCTCTTTATATGTAAATATTTGTCGAATACATATATTATCATATAGACAAAAAAAGTATCCCACAATGAACAATTTAAAAGTATTATTTTATGGAATATTTAACTACATAAGAATAAAAATAAATTAAATGCGTATGGAAAGTGAAGTTATAAAAAATGAGGAGTAACAAAACATATAAAGAATGTTGATTTCTGTTTTTAACAAATTATATAATGAAACTGTGCTAAGCGAAAAATATTTATAATAATATTTTATACCAAATACATCTGAAATGAGGAAAATTGAAAATTAGATATATTGAAATTACTAAATTGTAATTATTATGTTGATAGATGAATTGGAATAGGTGAAACAGCTCTTATGATTAAATATATATTATAAGCATTAGTTCCTCAAAGTTAATGCATATACAACATATTATATTTAAAAAAATATTATAAATATGTGAATAAACCATTTTTACGACATAATTTTTTATGAAATTATACTTCATTTTTATGTATATCTAATAATGTGTCAAAATATTAAAAAATATCTATTTCAGATTCATCTATGATTTACTAATTATTATTGATTTTGTATAATCTTAATAATATTTCACAAGTGTATTGTATTTGATAACACATATACCTTTCTTTTGTCATATTATAAATGACGGAACGTATATACATTTATTATGTATAACAATAGAATACTTTGTATATATTTTAATACTAACTTCAAAATGGACCATGAAGAAAAATGGACTATAAACACAATATATATGTAACGTCTTATGCATCGTATATATCATTCAAACTAGCATATTGGATTCATTAATCTCTTAGGAAAACTATATATATCTTTGAGGAATTTAAAAGTGGAGATAAAAACGGTACAGCGATGAGACATACAAGGATGGTGATGAAAGGTATTTTGATTATAATATATCATAAAATCTAAAAAATCTCACTATTAATCTGAAAATTTCTATGGTAGTGGTATATTATGTAAATCACATAAATTATTAGTTTTATAAATATTTAAATAAAATGAACTTATTAGATAATGAAAATATTATATCTGAATTTAAACTTAAAAAAAGTATCTAATATATATGTAATTTTACTAATTAAAATAAAACATGAAACTTGAAGCTATATAATACAAGTGTCTGAACGTTTCCAAAAATAATGGATTTTTACAATTATTCTCTAAATTTTATATGATTGTTAAGAAAGAACATTTTCCATGTATTTATATTAATGTTATTGTAGCGTCTATATTGTCAGTTCTATAATATAATAAAATGCGCTGCAAATGGATTGCATTGTATTATCAGCTATAGAGTCCTGTATAATATATCAAAACTTTAAAGACATAAAATCCAGAATATTTTTTTTCAAATTGGGGTCCAATAAGAAAGATGTTCAAACAAATATAGTAATATATGAATTCATTCCATAAAAATAATTCATAGAAACTACTTAAATATATTGTGATATTATTGTTTCACATATCAATTGTTACAAATTATCTGAGGATTAATTTGATTATGTTGCTCTTATAGCCTCTTTTTTTATACTTGAAATTCTAATAATTAGTTTTTTTTGTGATGAGTACCAAAATACAGTATATTTTTAAAAGCGCTTATAATTATATGACATCAAAAAATAGTAATTTTCATATAAAATTTATAACAAATATAAATATTAAATTCATGTTACAAAAATTTATTTTAGTTTACAACATAGAGAAATTACGTAAATCCTTTAGTAATGAAGAAAACCATGAATTCCTATAATAGATATCAAGAATTTTGCAAACAAGTTATTAAGAATGATGTAAAAACCTCGGAAGAAATATATCATATTAATATACTAAATCTATTATAAGGTCATATGAGAGGATATATATATATTTTTGTAAAAAGGACTTAAACATATACAATTTGAATAATATAGTCTCAATATAGTATTAGGACTACATATATATGAATTTTTATGTAACATTTGTATAAGGAGCCATATTATAATTCATCAATATGATATATTATGGGAATTGTAATTTTTAAGCTGAAAAACTTAAATATATCATTATATAAAATCATTTGGAACATAGTATTAATTATAAAATTAATAATATATTTAGGAAATATTTATGTAACACTGAGATTTAACATTAATATGCATAAATAAAATTACATAAATATATCGATGTATATATAGTATATAAATGAAAAAATATATTGAATAAAAATGATGATAATAATACTTCTTATATTATTTAATGAATATATCACTCAAAAAAACTTTTAATGAAAAATATAATACTTTTGTACCAAGAACTAAATAAATATTTTATCTATACTTAATAATTTTAAAATTCATAAATTTTTGGATTAATATATTAAATATTAATTCTGTATATTTAATTTTAACAAAATTAATGACTCATAACGTATAACTCCAAAAAAATAAAATTTTTGAATTTAATATAGATTTCTTATACATTTTACTATATTCTTTATTAAGAAATACTTTTGTAATAATTTTCCAATTATATAGTATACATTTTATATAAGTCTCATTAAATCGGTTGGCTATTAGATCAAATTTTAATTATGAATTTAATTTTTTTTCTCATTTATATATACAATGGATGCCATAATTAATAAAAAATATATTTATAGAAATATATTACACAGACGTGGAAAATTTTATTCATTATTATATATTTTTAAATACATTTCATCTAAATTTACTCTAAGCTATATCGTTGTCTATCAAAATTTATATGAATATCACCACTATTATT